ATAAAAAATTTATTGATTAAAAAAAATCTGTAATATTGCAAATTTATATGGAACTAGACGTATGTTTGATTTTATTGGATGATCGGCCACCCCAATGTTTCGATTATCTAAAGAATTTTTAAAAAAATAGCGTATTTCGGGAAATAAATAGGAGTCTGAAAAAAAAGAAAAAAAATCTTATTTGTGTATTAAAATTTCGAAATCGGAAAATGAAATGAAAGTGCTTAAAAGACATCCATTTAACGCAATAAATAAACTATTCGACGACAAAAATCATTATTGGAAAATGAAATAAAGTCGATTTGAAATAAATGTGTTATCTATTTCTATCAAAATTAAACCCCTTACTATTAGAAATTTACTAAACGAGCAACTATTTCAATGCATTGATCTGTCTGGTGAATTTTAAAACATGAAAGACGACTTTAAGTACTTTGATCCCTAGTGAATTTTAAATATAAGAAACTACTCAAACGCTTCGATTTATTATATGAAAAGAATACTGTATACCCCTAAAAAAACATACGTACATACGTACATCCCAATAGCAGATAGAATGAAATAAGCTACGTATGTACCAATCTTTGCCGAATAACCAAAATAAACAATCAATTTCTGCCGAATAACCATTAATTTTGCGAGTTATTTAGCAGCCCGACCATAGTAATCTGACGGATAATGTATACTTATTAGCTAGCAAAATAATGAATTACTAATTACAATTTTTTTTTAAAACAAAGATTTTATACTTTTCTTTTTTTTTGACACCTCTTATCATCAAACCAAAATATCCTATTACTTTAATTACTTTTATTAAAGTAAATGAGTTAATCAGCAAAATTATTAAAACCTTTATTATAACAAAATTCAATTCATTATCACCTTTCTTCCCAATACCCTTCCATGCTGCGATTCAAATCTTATCATTTCTTCTAAATTTTCTACCCTCGCTCTTAAATGATTTCTCTCAATAATTAAATTCGTATAATTCTGATTTCTTTCCAAATTTTCTCTTATAGTCTCTTCAAGATGAAACTCCCTGTCTTGTACTTGATTTCTTAACACTATGACTAGTGTTCCAAATCGGTCAAAATTTTCAAATCGATTAGTTGTCAACTTAGGTTGTTCTCAAGCAGCTCCCTCGATGTAATTTGCAAGTGATCGAGATGCTGCACAATCATTTCGATTAATCGGAGTGCTCCCTGTAACAATTTTGCCGAAAATTCATTGTGCGAAATGCGGATTTTAAATTTCAGCCAATTAGAGTAACTCTATGAAAAAAAAAGATGGTTGTTAGCTCCAGGTTTTTTTGACCGAAATGATTAAACACGATTTATTTTTTCAGCCAATCGGATCACTTTATCGATCATAGAGGGAGGTGAGAACAACCTTAGTTGCCGATTAGTTGCAACTAATTGTCACATGTTTTTGATAAATTCGATTGGTTAAATAAATAATCACATGTTTTTTGTATCAATTTGATTGGCTAAAGAAATTTAACATTAAAAATTTATTATGTAGACAATCAATCAACGATTAGTTGGTTAAAACTTTTCCAATCGATTAGTCAACTAGTTGTCAACTAGTTGGTTTTTCAACTAACGTTTGGATCACTAACTATTACTTGATCACTAACTTTGACTTGAAATCACTAACTATGACTTGATCACTATGACTTCAGCTTCTAGCTCACTCACTCTTGCTCGCAACCTTTTTACTTCTTGTAACAATCTATAAAATTTTATAATTATTATTTTATCCTATATTACTATTATTATTATTATTTTATTATTACCTTCTATTCTCGCTTTCTATTCTCTCCTTGCGATCGGGCAAAGCATCTTGATCACCTCTTCTTCGTCTTTTTTGAGCGCGGAAAGTTCGATAACTCTTAGGCATTTTCTTTTTCTTCTTTTTACTAGTTTATTATTATTATTATTATTATTATTATTATTATTA